AAATAGGTTTTAAAAATAGTCTATTTTGTTTTTACTAGAGTAATTTAAAATTTTTTTTATAAAAAAAAGCAAATCTAATTTATATAATTATATTTTTTATAATTTCATCTATTTAAAAAAAGTATCAAAAAATTTCATCTTTTAAGTAAAAATAAGTTAGAACAATTTTGTTTTTAAATTTTAATTTTAGGTTTTAAAGCCCAAAATAATTTTGTTTTTATTTATATACAAAACAGATAATCTAAAAAAGTATTAAGATATAGCTATATTATACAAAATAATCAATAAATATCAACTAGTATAAATTGAAGAGAAAAATTGGATAGATACAAAAACATCTTTCAAATATTAAGTAAAAGTATACAAAATAGTATAGAAAAATACAAAGCAAAGACTTTAAAAAAAAATAAAGAAATTGTAAACATAGCCAGTACAAAGCCTAAACTAATATATATAGTTTAATGTATACTAGAGCTATATAACTAGTTTAAGTACCAAAAAGTAAAAAAGAATAAAAGAAATAAAGTAGTAGAACTATTTAAAGCTAGAATAATAAAAAACCTACTAATAAAAAAAATAAAATAAACAAGCAAACTATAGTTACAAAAGAAAATACAAAATGCCAAGCTGCTTTGCCAAAATATAGCAATAAAAAAAATCTCCAAAGTAAAAAAAATAAAAAAATCTATACTTGGAAAATTAATATAATAGAAAAAGAAATTGGTAAAAAAAAAAACAATAAAAAAAAAAGTAAAGCCTCTATAAATAGTAACAAAATAGCAAAAAAAGATAAAAAAGCTAAAAATATATTGCAAAAAAAAATAGTAAACACAAATACTAAAAGCAAAAGAAAAACAAAAGAAAAGATATCAGTTATACTATAAGATATTCTTAATAATACAAGAGCCAACTAGATAAGAAAAAGCTTAAATTATTATAGAAAAGCAGTTATGAAGAATTTTATAGCAATAGCAAATTAAAAGCCATATTTGTTAAAATTGAAACCAGAGATAATATGAAAGCTTTAATACTAAAAGAAGCTTAAACACTTCACTTTAAAGCAGACAAGTTAATTAGAATAATACAAAATATTTTTTACAAGTATACTCTAATAAAAAAAAGCTAGTTTAAACTAATTACAAAAAAGATATCAAGAATAGTAATCAAATAAACTTTTCTAAAATAATTTAAAAGTATTAAAGCAAAAGCAGTCTATATATTATCTAACTATAATAAAAATTATTATCTAATAGCTTACTATGATAGTGCTGTCAAAATAACTCAAGTTATTTGGCAGTGATATATCATCTATCAAATAACTTTATTATTTGGCAGTTTATATAATTACTACCAAAACTCGAGTCATTTAGAAGTACAATCGTCATAAGCTATTAGATAAAATTATTATTGTATACTATGCTAACCAATAACTCCTAATGAATTATTTTACAAATAATTCTTGTTATTGTCTGCTACATATTCAATAACTACTGTATATAATATAAAATAGTAACAATATATTTTAAGTTTAAGAATAATTGTAAAAAGGCTCAAAAAGAGGCAATATATTATTATAGCAACAAGCTAGAAACAAAACAGAAAAAAACAAAGCTAGAAAAATATATACAAATATAGAAAAAAGCAATTAAAAGACTACTTACAAAAAAGTATAGCCAGATAATTGATTAAGAGAATACTAAAAATATCAATTGCATTATGTAGTAAACAAAAAAAAAAAAAAAGATATAAAAGAAAAAAAGTAATGCTTGGCAAAATCAAACAAAACATGATTATTATCTATCAATTTACAATATTGTGTATTAAATACAAATTTTATTTTTAGTATATATATAAATCTAACAAGAATTTGATCTTACTTTAGACTTTATAGTAACTAATATGAAGTTTAAAGTTAGATTAAAGTAAATATAAATTTTATAATTAAAGTACAATACTATAAATCAATAGATTTAAAAACTTAATAATCGAGTTTTTGTTTGATTTTGCCAAGCACTAAAAAAAAAAATCTGCAAGCTTTACAATATGTCTAAAAGCCCAAACAAATAAAGAAGAATTAAAACTTTAATCTGTATTAATAGAAGAAATACTGTAAAAATTAATTGCAATTAAAAAAAAACATTAAGTATTTTTAAACTACTTTTAAGAAATATCAAAAGTGTTAATTTAGAATTAGAGATACTACAAACAAGTGATAGTGCAAAAAAAGAAAAAGACAAAAACAATCTAGAAATATTGTATATAGAAACACATAATATTAACAAATATAAGATATGTTTTCTTACAGAGATTTAAAATATTATCAAATATAAATCAAATAAGTTGACTTACTCAAATTTATATATAAAAAAAATACTTTTCTTTAAAAAAATATTTATTTAATGCAGGATGTACTATGTACTCTCTATGAAAAATTTGAATCTAAGAATAGTTAGAGTTAGATTAGAGTTAAGTTAAGTTAGATTAGGTTAGGGTTAGTATTAGGGTTGGGCTTAGTGTAAAATTGTAAGAGAATCATTTTTCATTAGTTATATGACAGAATTACCCTAGTAAAATTTTGAGTTATAGCAAAATTATAGCAAAGGGTATATATGGTACAAGGTGCACTAAAAAATAATATTTTTTCTTTAATATATTTAATAAAGTAAATATAAAAAATAAATTTAGAGTTAGGTTAAGTTAGATTAGGTTAGGATTAGTATTAGGGTTGGGCTTAGTGTAAAATTGTAAGAGAATCATTTTTCATTAGTTATATGACAAGATTACTCTAGTAAAATTTTGAGTTATAGCAAAATTATAGCAAAGGGTATACAGTCAACTCTGAATATAACGAATCTTTTTATAATGAACTCTAAATATAACGAACTTAAAATTTTTAAATTTTAATATTAATTCGGTATTATAAGAGCTACGGCTCTTAAGAAAACATAGTAATACTATATAACAAACTTTTTTTTTGGCCAGAACCAAGGGTTTGATATAGAAAGAGTTGACTGTATATGGTACAGGATGCACTAAAAAATAATATTCTTTCTTTAATATATTTAATAAAGTAAATATAAAAAATAAATTTAGATATAAGATTTATATTCTTTAGTATTTAATAATTCTTTAACAAAGTTATTTATCTAAATATCAAATAGTTTTAAAAGAACCTTGCTTTAAAGGTGATATATTTTTTGTTTTTACAACCCCTGTAAAATTAAAATAATAATATAATTAGCTAAAGCAATTCTTTGAAAACTAAAAAAAGTTCTACTAACAGTTAATAGTATCAAAACAAAAATAACAAAATTGAACTTTTTTAGTCTGGTGTTTTTTCAAATTTAGCATTACTAAATATAGATATGATCTATGATGATCAACATCATACAATTTTCTAGAACTTATTCATGAAATTGAATTTAATTGGCTATCAAATTTCATATATATAGTAGATTATCAGATGGCAAGAAAAGTACTTTTAAAAATGCTATACATATTTATTAGTACAAAAGCATATACAGTAGCAATATACAGTAAAACCTCCATAAGTGCACACTCTTGGAACCAAGCTCTAACAATATACATTTAGAGATCAACAAGAGAAAGTGCATTTATAGAGACATATATATACTTGGAACAGAACTTGGGCATGTATTTTAGAGAGAATGTGTACTTATAGAGATTTTACTATAGAACTTTTATATGCTAGATTAAGAAGCTAGATTAAGAAATACCATGCATACCTACACTGTGTGTATTCAGAAATGTTGACTATACAATATCAAATAAGTATAATATACTATTTTTTTTTTTTCTTTTTTGTAACTTTATTCATTTTATATTTGAAAGGGTTATTTATTTATAACTACTTAAATAATTACTTTTTTTTTAAATTTCTAGAGTATTTTTTAGCTACTTTTTTATATTGTCTCTTTGGCTATATTAACATTAGTTGCATTATGAAGATCTTAAACTTGTTGCAAAATTATTAATAATTCTTTCTTTCCTTTTAACTTTAATCCTTTAAATTGTGGTTGTTTGGCTTCATTTAAGGATTCAACTAATATTTCGATTACAAATACTATTTCTTCTTTCTTCAATAAACTTTCGACTAATTGTAATTGTGCTTCATTATAAGTAACAGAAATGAATTGGATAGGTTTAGAACTAATTAAGCCAAGCTTTTCTTTAATATAGTTTATACATTGAGCTTTGGCTTTAACACTGAAGGATTTTATTTATATACTTAATTTATTATTCCCATCTAAACTATTAAAGCTATTATTTAAATTTAGATTTGGATTTAGAAAACCTGTTTTTTTTAACCAAATTCAAAATCTTTGAGATTTCTCTTCATAGTCTGGATGGCTTCGTGAACCTGAACTTTCAGAATTTGTATATTCTATTGTAGTGAACAATTTTTTTCGCAGCTATCAAGATAATATTTATTAGAAAAAAAAAATATTAAGTATAATAATATACTATATATTTTTATATTTATTCTTATATTTATCCTTATCTTTATAAATTTTGTACAATTTCTTGCAGCCATTTCCTAATGCTTTTGAGCTAGTATAGGTGGGATCAACATTTTTAATATCTTATTTATCTCTTTAAGTATAGTATCTAATCTCTGATGTTGATTTGCCCTTTTTGACTGTGCTACAACAGAGTTACATTTGATAATTTGATGAATCTTAGGATAAAGACACATTAATTGTTCTTTATCAGCTACTTTAATTTCTTGATAAATAGGATGCTATCTTGCAGACCAGATAGGAGCAAACATTCTACGTGCTGCTGATTTAAGCAAAGATTGATTATATCTAACACCGGTACGAAAGTTTATAATTGCTTGTAAGTACTAAAAGATCTAGATATAATCTAATATTAATAATTGGAATTTAAATAATTTAAATATTTATTACCAAATACCTGTTTATATTTTAATTTATATAATTCATTTTTTTGTTTTTTAGCCCAATCAAGAAAACTGTTAGCAAATAGATTAGAGACTGAATTAATGTATAGCCAAACCAATTCTATTGTCATTATATATTGATAAATATTGCATACTAAATTCTATGCTTTATGGTGATTAGCATATTTTTTAAAATAACCTAACTAATTTTCAGTTCTATATTCTTGGCATTGTGTAAAATCTTGTAAGTCTATGTTCTTGCGATATAATGAAATCAGTTATATTGGTCAGTAATTTAATAATTAATTATTAAATAGGATGATGAATTTTTTACTATATTGTTACTAATATAGTTTTTTTTTTTTTTATTATTAATTCAATTCCACGAAAGCTTTTAACATATTTATTTCTTTGTGAAGTGGACTAGGCAACAAAATAATTCTTGGATATTTGGATTTAAATTTTTGTGCATAATAGTAAGGAAGTCTATCACAAACTACTACAATCCATTTTCAATTGCCATTATTAACTCCACTAATATTTTGAATATAATCAAAAACTTTGCAAATATTATCAACAGAATTTGGATTAACTGGTAAAGAATCGGGTACAAGAATATCAAGTATTTTAACACCATCTTGAGGTTCCAAATTTTGTGTTATACTTATCGAACTTGTAGATTCATCCAATTTGCCTGATTTACTTTTTTTCGGTTGATAGGGTCTAAAAGAAATAGCTTAATTAAAACTTTCTCTTTCTTATCGAATATGATTTGCTTTTTTTCTTGTTAAGTTTTGGCAAGTGTAGGAAGTTTTGCATGACATTGAGGACATTTGGGGTCTTTGCCTTGAAAATGACCCTACAAGATATTGTTATATGAGATTTTTATTAAGAAAAACATAGTAAATCTATTTTTAGAAAAAAAAATTCAAGGCAAAGACCCCATTTATACTTAGAGTATTCAAATATGTTTTTTACTACAAGTATGACATTGTTTTTGATTTTTTGTTTTAGCACTTTGATTAGTTATTAAATTGTTAATAATATTTATTTCTTTATTTTTTTCAGTGTATAATTTAGTTATAATAGATAAAAGATAATTGTGAAGCTGTTGATTAAGCAATGCTTGTATTTCTGGAGTAAGGCTAAATAATTCTTCGATTTGTAATATATTAAGATTTTGATATAGCCAAGGGTTTTCAAAATTTTGTATTTGATTAGTAGGATCAAAATTAAATAAAACAAAACTAGTGACTATATGAAAGAGCACTTTATTATATTCATAATCTAAATAATTTTTTTAGCTTTTTTGTTTATTATCAAATGCTATAAATACCAAACTATTTGGAAATAGTTCTGAATTATCTGCTAAAGTTTCTTGCCAATTAATAAATTTGGTAAAACTACATTTATAATATGGCTATCGATATTAATTATCATTTTAAACTTTGCTATAGAGTATTTTATTGCCAATAGTGCTAAATTAATTGAAGACACATATTTTAAATATCTTATTCCATATATATTATCTATTACTACAGCACATTTAAAAAGTTTTTCTCAATTG